GGACAGGACCTGACCAGGACAGATCCAGGGACAGGACCTGACCAGGACAGATCCAGAGACAGGACCTGACCAGGACACGCTGGAGGGACTATGTTTCTCAGCTGGTCTGGGAACACCTTGGGATTCCCCCAGAGGAGCTGGTCCAAGTGTCTGGAGAGAGGGAGGTCTGGGTCTCTGCTGAGGCTGCTGCCCCCGAGACCTGACCCTGGATAAGAGGAAGAAAAAAGACGAACGGACTTTGCTGGTTTACATGCAAAAAAACCTGTTAATGCAACTCCTCTTCAAACCAGAAAAGGCTTGATGGCCACTGGATAGCACACTTTAAAAAAGTTATTTAAAACACCTGATAAAAGCAAAAACATGACGTTGCACGTGCTGATTTAAAATTATATCTTACAAAAACATCTTTCTTATGCTCTCAGGATGTTTGTTCATTCTTTTTTAAGCTGTAAAGCCACCATTTCTGTAGTAATTCAGGCCATTAAATTTCTTTTTAATTTAAGATTCAAGCACAACTGATAACTCAATTAAACACACTGGATTAATCACAACTGTTTAATCCAAACCTCATACAGACAAGCTTAAAGAATCAGTCATTAGCAAACCCACACACACCATCGATCTACAGCATGAACATCCAGAACAAACCACATCAGTTTAACCATTAATCTGCTGTGATAAAATCAGTGACAGAAACACACAAACCATCTTTCTCTGATCTGATGTTAGCTAATCACACAGGAAGAAGAGCTGACAACTGTTTCAGTGTGTGTGTGTGTGTGTGTGTGTGTGTGTGTGTGTCTTTTCTTTTTTAATACTGAGTGTGTGCAGATTGAACATTAAATAATCTAACTTTATATCTGTCGCTCCTCCTTGTTGCTTAGCAGCGTGACAGTGGAAGGTCTGCAGGCTTCCTGAGGAAGAAGAGCTGATAAACTTCATCTTTATTCACGCTCAGATATGGGGTGCCAACTGGAAAATTACATGTTTTATTTAATAAATGTTCAATTTAAATGCTAAATGTTAAACCCTAAATATAGAAGTTTAATTTTAAATGTTGCAGTTAAATGAATAAGTTTACGTTTAAGAATTTCAATAAAACATCACAACATGACGACATCACAACATGATGACATCACAACATGATGGCATCACAACATGATGGCATCACAACATGACGACATCACAACATGACGACATCACAACATGATGGCATCACAACATGATGGCATCACAACATGACGACATCACAACATGACGACATCACAACATGACGACATCACAACATGACGACATCACAACATGACGACATCACAACATGACG